GGATTGCAGATGCAAACCATTGCTAATTTTCACTTCTTCGTCCAATAATGACCTAAGCGTGCTACATGATGCATGGTAATCTTCCTTGGTTTGAAGATCTTGCGATGAAGACACGGGCATCCGGGATGCTTCGTGCTCAATCGGCTGTTAAGCGCTAATGAGCAGTTGGTCTCTAGATCAGCTCTAGTCTCTTGACTACCGAGTTCAACCAGCATTTTTAATCAGATCAGTCACATTGATTTGATCGGTTGCCACATGCAATCAGCGCAATCTGCAGTAATAACAACCATTATTGAGTATCACTGTAGGCATTGCTGAGATCTAAATACCAATTCCTACCTACCAAGTGGCCTTGTCGATTTTTTAGGAGTTTTCAAATAGCCGCTTGATTGCACCAGCTTGCTCCATTTCCACCTTTTTTTAAGTTTCCGTAATTAGCAGCGCGTATCCTCCAAACCCATCTGCTCACTTTCACTTAATCTTCGTTTCGATTTTTCCGCGAGCTCTCGTTTCAATTTTCCTTATCTCCTTTCGAAATGCGAGTGAAAATTAACTCGGAAACACTGAACGTTGAGTTATACGTTTGCTGATTGCATCGCCACATTCGTTTCAGAATTTGTAAATTACTTCTCGACTGAATATTAATGTTTCTGTGCACAGTAGGATGTTTTCACGTTGCTCCAGATTGATTGAATCCATATTTTACTAGTCATCATTCGAACCCACACATTGATGAACATTTCCACATAATCAAACATGTTTATGTAACGAGAAAGTGTTCGGTTTTCTCCTGTTCTGTTGTATCCGAATGGACGAGCCCCATCTTCTAATAATTTAACAGCCAGCATATTCGTGCAGGTAAAACTACCACAATAAAATCCATAACTAAGCAAACGTCCCAAGCATAATGGTGCGAAGACTTCCTTAACAGTTCATATTTCCATTTTAAGTAAACTATTTCGCATTTACCGGTATTACGGCTGCTTTATCGCCTGCTGCGGGCTCATATTCAAGCGCTTTTCGAAAAAAAAATCGGTGATATGTAGAGTTACCATAGTATGCGCACGGTGGAGTAAATCGTTAAACTTTTGCAATCGGTAAACTGGAATGGGATTAAATTAGTCGTGTAGAGGATAAAATTTGGGCTTTGAATGGGCCCAGAGATCATTGAGGTCTGAATTCTAAAGAGTATTTTTTGGAAATACATTCAAGATGTTTCTCAATAGACATTTTAAACGAGGATTAAAGTTTCCTCGGTATATGAACTATTTTTTAATTAAAAGCCTGAAAACCCGAAAAAGTCACCAGTTTGAATGTTTTGATTGACTGGTTTAACCGATTAATTTTGGCCATCTTGATCATGCCCAGTTGAATTTAAAACTTCGTACTCCACAAAAATCTTCATTCCAAAAAACATTGCACATCTATTTACAACGATTTAAACCCTCCGTACAGATTCCAATAAACATATAATTTTCCAAATATCCCGCAAAATAAAAAAAGACCTGAAGGAAATAAAATGCAGCAGGCAGCAGTCATTTCCAAAAGTACAATTTCTTCAAAATATTGAAAAAATCAGCGAATTATTACCGGTTTGCGCCTTCCTATTGAAAGTTTCATACAAAATAACGCAACTTGTTTCTAAGCTGAAAATGTCTTTCTGTTGTATCGCGATAGGCCCAGTATATTGAACTATGTTGGTCTATCGCATTTCTTTCCATCACGTCAATATCTTTCAGAGTTTTGTGCGGTGACCGTCAATTTGGATCATCTTCAATTCCATGAAGCGTGTGACTTTTCACGTGGGTTAAGGTATAGATTTCGTCGTTTAAAATCTCAAGAATACGGTTGGCTCATCAGCGTTATTCAGTTAGGATTTTTTTATATTTAGAATCATCAAACCGAATTCACTTTGCTCAAAAGTTTCATCGAAAATTCAAGATCAGTTTCCTTGGAACTATTGCAATTCAGGCGTCTTCTGGAAATTGCGATTGGAGCAGTTAGATTATCCACAAGCCATATGTTCATATGTGTACGAAACCTACATAGAAGCAAAATCGCCTATTTTATTAATGAAATCTCGGATACCAACCGATCAAGCGGAACGAGATCGAAATTTACTGGGGCAAAATATCGAGGCGGTCATTCGAAGGAGGAATCGCCTACAGTCTTTCAGATCTATGCCGACATGTCCTCGCTAAAGAGTTGAGAATTGCTCACACATTTTCGTGCTACATAAAATTCGCCTTCTTCCACTCAGAAGCTCAGAAAAAGGAAAATACTCCCGGAATCCCGACGGATATAACAGTCAATTTCATTGATTAAAAACCGCGCTAAAATCGGCAAAACTGCAATAGGATCTACTTATAACAATGCTGTTATTAGGCACCGTGCATTTCCTTGTCATCATTGAGGCGATTTCTCAGAACCTTTTGTCTAATTGTAGCTGAGGACTAATCGAAGCCTTCTAAAAAGTCCAACCTTCGCCATTTTCAGCACCACAATGTCTATTGGAAATTACAGAGGAGCAAAAAGTGACCTACTGAAGCTCATTCCGCCACTAGCCGAGAAAAACAACTGTTTAACATTAGATCATTAGCAACGCAAATAAAAAGGAAAACTGACTTTTATAATATTGGGAATTCTTCAGCAGGCTGATGGAAAAAATCAACAATAATGCGAACGTTATATTCACTGTTGCCTTCATTAATAATTTGAGTTAAAAACCTCCTCTCACTTTTTAATAATATTTACGTTCATGAATAAGCAAGCGGATTAAGCGTGCTGTTTTCTATTATCTGGAACTATGATGTGTGAATTGTTGCATTATTAATATCGTGTTTTCTGCGCGTTAGAAACCGCTCATGCTGCACAACACATTCTAGATGAAACAGTCGTTTTTGAGAATTTATCACAGTTTGCAAATCATTTAAAAGAAAAAGCATACACTCCAATGCAGTGTGCTAATTAAATATCGATTCCACCTACCATTTCAATAAGAGCAGTAACTTTTGGTAACGCAATTTTCTTGAAGCCTACATTTGTATAACGTGAAAAAGTTCAAATAAACCGAGGACAGGCACATATATTGAACACATGATTGGAAACTATCAGCAAAAATTCGTATAATTTCCACGAAAATCAAGTTCAATTGCACAATTGCGTGTTATATTCAAGTCCCTCCTCTGTCACCTTGATCAGTTCATAAGACCCAATTTCTCAATAACACCAATTAATAAAGTGCTACTTGATGCACTGATTTCATGAAATTTCAATTTGTTGATGGGCAGCAATCGCAGGTAAACCAGTTTAAGACCAATAGAATATCATTGAAAAAAAAACAAGAAGCATTGAAGAAACTATGGAATATCAAACGTTATAGAACCATAATCTATATTTTATTCAAAAGAATGAGCGCATATTTAAGTTTGATATGCAAATAGGCTGTGAGCAAGGTGCTACTAATGGTGTTTCACACTCTCGGATTCTTATTGGGTTTCAAAGTAATTATTAGTCGATTAAAGTAAATTAATTTAGATTAAAATGCAGTTCTTGGAATTGTCAGGTGTGCTTCATTTGATTATTACACTTTTCAAATGAGCTTTTTCGCCAATATTAATCAATATACGGGCATTTTTTAAACAGCACATACTCGCTGCCTGCTAATGTTTATTAGATAATAAAGCTACTGTAGGTCTAGTGCAATTTACGCATATTGAATAGATTGAAAAAAGATTAAGTGAAAAACGTCGTGGGTAGTGTCAAGATTATAAGTTACGCTAAACGAATAAATTTGCATTGCATTTCCAACATTATATTGTATCTGGTTTAATTTATGATTAATTATAATCGAAAGTGGCTGAGCGCGAGAGGTCACTAATAGGCACAAAGTTGAAAGCAGTGAAAGCTGTATGGAACAAATCAATCAGAAAAATATATGCAGCTGAAGCTTGATCAAAGTGACCAGGACATAAAAAGACTATAGATTTGAAAATTTTTTGGGCAAAGCACTAAATCGGCATTGGTGCAGTGACTTACAAAAATTTAAAATATATGCAGTGTGTATCATGAAAGGGGCGTTCCAACAAGGGTTGATTTTTGCTGGATTCAAACGCTATTTGCTTTAGATTTCAGAGGAGAGAAAAGCTTTCGACCGGCAAGCTGAACAGACATTGTTGAAAATTAGTGACAATAAACCAAATACAAAACCAAAAATATACAGTACTTTTAGCTAAAGGCCTTCTTGAGAAGAGTGACCTGAGAGTGCCAATGTTGCATTGATTTAATTTGAAAACATGTTTTCCAAGTGCTCTATTGACGTAGAAATTGAGAAAAGCGTTCTAAGTAAAACAACTGGAAAATATATAGAACAGGTTAGAATAATGCCCATAAACATTTTTTTTTGTTAAATTGCATCGTTTCGAAAATGAATGAAGGCGTTGAAATAAAAAACAAACACTTTTGTTCCAAAACTTTTACAACGAAAAGTCTGTTCAAAAATCTCAAAAAAACAACTGCACAAGTTTATTCATTGATTCAATTGGAAACTTTTTTGTCACTTGATTTTCGTGATTTCATTCGAAAATTTGTGTAAACTCACGTTCGTGGAGAACAATTATTGTCTAGCCATTGAAAAAAAATTGTTTAAAAAAATCGTATTCCTGAAATCATGATGAAATCTTAAATATTCTGCATAGCTTCAGAAGTGCGATGTCATTTCGTCAATTCAAAAGTTTCTACATGAACAACATGAAAATACAAAGATATATACGAAAACACGTGATAATCAATTAGAGTACAGAAAAATTTGCAACATACTCAAACTCACTAGAACGGAATGGCAAAAATAGCCAGTCAGTTAAGCAGAAAAAGCACATTTCATTCAAAATTGACCTGTTTTACTAATTTTTTTAAATACAAGAAACCATCGCAGAAATAACAGGAAAAAAAATAAAATTAGTGAGTAGACTTTTAGTAGTTTTGCGATTGGTTCGACTTACATCATCCTCATCCAAAGTCCCATACACGTCCAATTTGTCAATCCTGATGGTACCCTGGAAGGGATAACAGAGCGAACCCTGGGCAATGGAAGAGTTGCTCCAGACTGAAACTTCCGGATCTCCATTGGGACTCTTGTCCTGGCTTCTAATGCATAGACTAAACTCTTGTGGGATCAAAACGCAGGTTTCCATTGTGATTGGCACTCAATTGTCATTCAAACTACTCGTACTCGCTTAGTTTATCTGGCAATAGTCTTTCAACATTATTTAGACGATTCGTTGCTGTACATAAAGAGTGCGCCTTAAAAAATCTATCAATTATCACGATCTAAAGCTTGTGGTTCAATGGCTACAAACTAAATCACATTATCACATAGTCTTAAGGCTCATCTAGCACCCAATAAACAATAGTAAATCACTTGCTGATAATGTCAGAGTCTGTGGCAACCAAAACGCCCGAAGTGAAAAAAATGCTAAACAATTAACGGAAGTGTCCGCGAATTTCGATGGTACCGGCTTTTCCGCGTGTTGATTCTACCCCGCTTAGTGTGAACTACCCGTTTGTAGCCATGAGCTTCATATGAATGGCACTGAACCGCTCTAGCATTGACCCTGCACGAAGCGGTGCTACTGTGGTACCGCAGATTTGCCCCACCACCAAGAACCACGTGGGTAAACTGGTGCACTGCTAACTGACAGGTGTATCCTTAAAGGTACCATGTAGAAGAGTCGATATGAAAAAGTGAACGGAAGATGTTGCTTGCGGTTTGGCGGAGAGTTGGAATTATTGTTAGGCTGGGTACCATCTTCTAGATCGAGACTAACTAGATTTGGTTTGGGTTCAAATTACCATATACACTGTTTTAGCAGCTTGCATATTCATTAACTAGGTATTGTTCTCTATGGGTGTTGCTGAAAAAGTCGGAATTTTTCCTTTGGTTCCTTTGATAATATTCAATGTTGGGGAAGATCTTGAAATCTACATTTAATTGAGAGCTTCTAGCTGTGGGCGTGACAAAAAAGCGTGCTCTTTCATCCATTGAAAAGGGGTGGTAAAAACCCTTAAGTAGGAACAGAAGGAAAACGACTCAACTTTTGATGAAAAAATTGAAGTGTTGAAAACAGTTTTATAATCATAAAAATAAACTTACTAAACCCACATTTTTAAAGCAAATTACAAGCTTTCACACTTGCTCATGTAGAAATTGATCTTCAAAAATCCATTCAACAGCGAAATTTTTTGAAAAAAATACGAAACACAGTAGCAAAAGTAATTTGGCAATTTTTGTTAAAATCAGAGGTCGCTTTGTTATGTTTTAATCGCAGGCACCAAATAAACATTTTATTTCTGTTTGCATTAAAAAAATTTGAACCAACAATAATCGAGATAAATAAATTGTTTTGATAGTTGTTTTATTTGGAAGCGAATGTGTACATGAAAAAATATATAAATTTTTGTTGTTAATGATAAGAATAATCAAAAGCCAAACAAACATATCGCACAAGATTCCTCAATCTGGTCGAGCGATTTGAAAGCAAAAGCAAAAATGGAAGAAAGAAAATCAATAGACCAAAATATATAAAAATACAGCACAATATTAACTTTATATGGAAAAATTAGGTCAATTTTTGCAAGGTTTTTTCCAAGACGAGAGTTCCTCAGCCCTTAATTGCTCTAATGCAATGGAAAATTAGAGGAACCTCAACTGGGGTTGCATATTGAATAGATTACACATCTGCGATATGCAGATGATACAACGTTGATAGCAGCCAACAGACGAGGAACTGTCAGACCCGGTAAACTGACTGAATGAAGGCAGGTCTTTTTGAAAAATGAAGCATTTTTGATTCTTATCTATCGAAGAATCATTGAAAACAGTGGACATTGAATGGCGAACAGTCACAAACAATGTCCAAATGGTCATCAACAAGCCATGAACAGCTAAACCTAGAGTAACAAGGGATGAATGCGACTCATTGGAAATGAACGAAACGGACATACGACTCACTTTTCAGTTACTTTTTAAATAATTAGTGGAATGTTTGCTATTGGGTTTACACGATTGGAAACGAACGCAAAAACTTTTCAAAAACAAGCTAAATGATGTGGAAATACATTGGCGAACACTCGCTAAAAATGTCCGAATGATCGCGAAAAAGCAATCAGCATGTAGTGAGCAGCAATAATGAATGGGACTGCATGCAAACGAACGAAACGAACGCAAACAAACACGACCGTAGAGCTTTATTAATTTTTCTTATTAAAAAGCTATTCAAAAACGAGCTGAAACATGTAGAATGACGAACATTCACGAACGATGTCCGAATGTAGCAAAAAAGTCTTCAGTTAATTTATTCGTTGACTAATTTCGAAAGATATGGTGCGAATAAAAATTTACAATTTTTGACTGGACTTGTATCAATTTGAAAAGGGCATGGCTTAAAAGTTACATATAAACACAAATAAAAAAAGCTGCAACTTAATAAATACAGCAAACCCAGTATGTAAACCATGGTTGATTCGCGACGTTAATTTATTTAATATTGACTTTATTTAGGAATGATATTTGCGGCGATGATTAAATTGTTGCTCATTATAGGGCATTTATGCACCATTAAAATGCCTTAAAAATGAGAAACTCATCAAAACGAGCATCCAATTAAGGTTTGATATCCTTGAAAAAATGTGTAAAATTAGTATTAAATGAATAGATAACATTTTCCATCGTATGCAGTCGAGCAAAAAACTGAACAGAACGAAAAAACTAAAATCAACAAATATCAGACAAATAAGTCCATAAAAAATGATAAATTTTGCAATTCGCATTGAAAATAAAAGTGCGAATGCGAAAAGGCGTCGCATGAAATCTATTGGTTTAAGGTTCGACATAAAAAAAATCTGCAGATTCATAAATAAGTTCAATTACAGTCCCTGACCAAGACCGTCGCTGTTTAATTCATGCAAACCATGGCACTGTGATTTTTTTCGGAAATTTTATCCAAGGCCGATGGGTATTCGAACAGACATACCCACTGACACCCAGTAAGTATTATGGGTAGAACACAGTTGGCACACAAGTACTTCACGTCGCCTGCTCGAAATGATCCGCCTCTCCTCGACCAATAGACGTCGCCACACAGAGCCGACGGCTCGTATTGGCTGGGAGTAGGGGGTACTAGGTGGGTACAGCAGGTGAATACGGCAGGTGCACACTTAACATGACTGCAGCAAGAGTTTCGATTTTGTTTTGTTTGCGCGACTACTGTGTATAAAAATTTTAAATAATCGGCTCGGTTCTTGGGTGCACAAATTAATTTTTGCCATTTTATTGGCCGCTGTGTGCACCTTTTGCTTTTTACTTTGCAATTAATACCGGTACCCTCTGGATAGATGCATAAATACAGTGAGTAAAGTATGAAATCTGTTAGAATAAGACTATAACCAAAATGCTTTTAATATTATCAATATAAGTTCAGCCATATATATTATGGACCACAGTGTACCACAACGCCATATTGCTTAGGCAGCATAATTTGTTTTCATCGCGAGAGCAACCTTTTTAGTCAAGCAAAGCTCAAGAAGAGCAAATCGCTGCTGATACAGAATCGTTCTCGTGTTCGAAAATCTACTTTTGTACTGTGTTGCTCTTTATCATTTATCAACATACTTTTATTCATACATTAAGAGTGTGTCCACTTTATTCCACCAACAAAATCCTTGACTCTATACGGTAAATATCCAGGTTCCGACAACATCAACTAGCATTTTGACTTGCATTTTCAATGTAGCAAATTTTGTGGATGTAAAATTCAAATAATCATAGTGACAAAATATTTCGTTAAATGCCGAGGTAACGTTATAAAGTTGAACTGCGTGACTACATTTTACGGAAGAATAGTGGCGCCAGTGGTGGCTCATGGTTTTTTTCTTATAGGTACTACAACACAAATGTCAAGTATTTTATTATATTGGCTTTTTAGAGAACAATATTTTTGCTATCAAGAGCTGAAATCCTTATTCCCATGACCGAACCGACTGCTGCAAAACCGGCTTCAGAACAAGGTGATAAACAAATTAAAACCTCTCTAAATGTTTGAAAATTCTTCATGCGTGCGTTGAATTCTCACAAATACAAATTAAAGCCACAAATGAAACACGACTTTCATTCTGATATCATTCCCAACTGGTTGCGTAGAAAGCGGTTTCAAAAGATGATGTAAAAATGAAAAAACGCACAAAAACCCTCCAAAGTTGAAAATTCTTTATGCAAGTACTGGATATTTTTGTACTTTTTACAAACTTCTTTTGGGTATTTCGCCTCAAAAATTTTTGTCATTAAAAAAGACAGAATTTCCTCACGTCTTTTATTACAGATTGATAAATAGTGCTCCTATTTCGCAATAAGAACGAATTATTTAT